AAAAAAAAAAAAAAATACATGTTCACCAAAATGCTCAATGGACCTGGGAATGTGCATATTCTTTGATCAGGATTTGGGGTGCGGGGGAAGGGACAGCATGGGATGAAAGCCAGGGGGCACATACAAGTTAGCCATGTTCAACATCTCTGATGGTGGGGAGGGGGCCATAAGGACTCACTAATTACCCTCTATGCTACAATATAGGTCTAAAAATTTCTAAAATAACTTTCTGTACCTATTACATGAGCACATTTTCAAAAATGGAGCTAATAGGCCAGGTGGGGCGACTCATACTTGTAATCCCAGCACTCTGGGAGGCTGAGGTGGCTATATTTTGTGAGCTTAAAGTTGGAGACCAGCCTGAGCAAGAGAGAGAGACCCCATCTCTACTAAAAATAAAAAAACTAGCTGGGTGTTGTGGTGGGCACCTGTAGTCCCAGCTGCTTGGGACGCTGTGGCAAGAGGATTGCTTAAGCTCAAAAGTTTGAAGTTGCTGTGAACTGTGATGAGATGACACTATGGCACTCTGCCCAGGTGACTAAGTGAGATCGTCTCAAAAACAAAACAAAAAGCAGAGCTTACAGTGGGAAACACCTGACCCAGCCCTTGCTGGGGTTCACCACTCACTGGGCTCCCACTTGGTGCTCTTCAACCCTGCCCCATGTGCTCCTCACGGGGATCCTGGCTGGTCACACAGCCCCCATGTCACAGGTGAAGGAATGAGGCTCTTAGAGGAGCAGCCAGGACTTGGATCTGGCTTGGTGGATTCTGGAAGTGTGGTTCTGAGAACCGACTACAATGAGCCTCCATATCACACCCCACCCCCAGGCCCACCATCCTAGCATGCCTGTCAGTAACTGCCTGAGCAAAGGAGCTCAGAGACACCACCTGAATCAGCTGGCTGATCAGCACTGCGGAGTACTTGTGGGGCTGCATCAGGATGCTCCTGGCAATCGCTTCACAGTAATGAAAGGCTTGTGTGGCCAGACCCACCTCAGCCAGGCGGCACGAATAGATGAATTTAAACACCTAGAACAAACACACACAGCTCACTATCCCGCAGCCCATCTTTCTGACATCCCCTATAAGCTGTAGTTATGCTCCACGTTCATACACACGCAGCTCACCGTCCCACAGCCCATCTTTCTGA